GGGGGGGGGGGGGGGCAGCAGCTCTTTCACTTTTTCTTTAGATTACAAGAAGTTGGGTGAAAATGTCTCCATTGTAGACTCCGTACTGTTTATTCATGCGAGCTACTTTAAACAAATGTCTTTGTGCTACAAAATCCCAACAAAGTTGGCACGTTTTTATTGAAATCAACAGCTATTAACAAAATCTTAAAATAGAAGGCACAGTATGCGAACAGAAGCCATTAGTTTCTACTTTTCTAACTCTGACTCATTGGAGAAATGTAATAACTTGATATTTTAAAGTACATTTTCTCCTGGCAAGTGACATTTGAGTTGACTGCAAAGTGAATCGGACACTATATAGAAATGGATATGACTGTAGAGAAAGGCTGCAGAGTGGATGCAGCAGCCATCAGCTTGTTGGACAGTGATCAGCATTTGGAAACCCGCAGACCGGATTCCAACCCAACGCACAGCTTTGATCCAAGCCTGCCAGCAAAGCCTCTGACTCAGAAAGCCACTGTATCATTTCTGTTAAATCACTTGAAGTGACTGAGTGAATCACAAAGCAACTATTTAATTTGCTAAATTATTTTTTTCCCACTTCAATGGAAAATTGTGTATGGCTTTAACTCTAAACTCATGTCTGCCAGTATAAATCAATCCTTGTTAAATTATCATACGAGGACAACTTGTTTTTAATTTGCAAATGTTTATGGTGTCTGTTTAAATACGTAAATATTCCATCTATTATGCGTTCCTGTTTGCTCTTGTTTAGGGCTGCACATCAGCATTCAGAAGAAGGTGAAGTACAGCAGACATATGGAAAATCCGTGCCTAAAATTGTGTTTGCCTAGACAGCAAAGTCAACATTTAACACAAAATTTTGGACTTTTATTTTCTATCGAAAAAAGGACAAGTCGCATCACAGAAAGCAATATATAAAATCCAAGGAGAATATGTGTAAAACAATGCACCTATGGAAAATTTGAACATCCCAATGCAGAAAGACATTTAGATATACAGTTTAAGTAAATGTCTTATTTGTTAATGAAGACCATTCTAGAATCTGCCCTTTAGGGGTGCTTAGCCTCCAGATCTGACAATGGCTCTTGGCTTGAACAACACAATGACCATTGGGGTGGGTGGGGTGGGGGATGAACACTGGTGGCGGGGTCTGAGGATCTTCCACCAGCAATTTTTGAATAAAGTAGATGCCGTTTTAGGCATTCTGGTGTATTTTAACGTTGTTGAACATCTAGTTTTATCTACATTGGTAAATGGTAAATGATGGACTGTACTTATATACCACCTTTCTATCTTATCAAGACACTCAAAGTGTTTTACGCTACAATCTGTGCCCTCATTTACCCATTCATACATCTGTAGTGAACCTGATCTGACCTCAAATCTGATCAGATGAACAGAGACTGTTATTTCATTGATCTGCATCCAGAAATACAGTCTGAGCCATCTGGTGACTTTCTTTCTTGAATCAATCAAGTAGAAAAGACAATTCTCTATGATCATTACTATTTTACAAATGTTTGATAATCAAATTGTGTTAGTTCACTCAATGTTTACAGGTTGAAGAGAACTACTCATTTTTATTTTACATAAACAGTAAGTAATGATTTTTATTCCTCATTCAAAGAAGAAATCAGGTTAATATGCATTTCTTGATTTTCTGTCTTCAATGAGCAAGTTTGTAAGTATGTTAAGGTTCAGGCTTCGGTCAACTAAAATGTCTACCGAGAAGAAATGTCATGTTTAATCTTTACAGAAGATACAGAAGAGTTTGACTCCACGAAGTCTGGTTTTCTGCAATAATCTTTCTGTCTGTTTTTAAACAATCTCATTCTCTGCCCTTGAATTTGATAACATCTTACATCACAAACCACACCTCTATTCTGGTCTATC